GCCCCCAACACACTAACCCCACCCCCCAAACATACAAAGTACCTGCATTATTTTGAGTTTTTTGCTGTGACATTAAAATCACAATTAATTGTGGCTACTTTTTTTTAATCATGCAACTAATCATGATCAATTTTTAAAAATAATTTGACAGCCGTAAATTTTTTTTAAATGGTTTAGGGTCAAGAACCCGTCTTTGTAGAACCCCATTTGAGGATCACATGCTTGATGGTGATTCTTTATTTGTAATTATATTTTGAGGCCTATCCATTAGCCATTTAATGAGAACATTAAAATCTTGGCCTGGTATTGAAGGTGTGGATGTACCATGGATTTATAAAGGGACATAATGGTACTTTCTGTTTTGTTTACAATCCCTTTCTTAATAATTCCTAACATTTTGTTCATCTTTTTGTTGACTGCTGAGTACTGAACTGATGTTTTCAGTGAACTGTCCACAATGACTCTCAGATCTTTCCTGTGTGGTAACAGTTAGTATGGACCCCATCATAATGTAGGAGTGCGTTGTGTTATTTTTGCCCATGTGAATTTCATTTGCCATTTAATTGTCCATTTGCTTAGTAGTGCAAGATCCTTTTGTAGTTTTTCATAGTCCTCCTTGGACTTTACTGTCTTGAATAATTTTGTCTTCCATTAATCTGTGTATTAAGTTCTTCTCTGTAATCTCATGACTACCTAACTTCATTAAGACCCTTTGATGGGGGACCTTGTCAAAGGCTTTTTGGAAGTCCAGATATGTTATTTTAACTGGATTCCCTTGATCTGTCTGCTTACTGACATCCTCAAAGAACTCTAGTAGTTTGGTGAAGCATGATTTTCAGTAAGTGTGCTGTATTGAATTTGTGTCCTTTAAATTTCTTATTTAGAATAGCATATGGTAGTAGATTATTGAACCCTAAATATATTGAATCAACAGTTATTTTTATCATCCAAATTTGTATGCATATCATCCACAAAAATATCAAGTTAGAAAAGATCTATTTTCTATAAACCATATCAATAAGTATTACTTCTCTTTTATATTCTTCATTTCCTTATTGTTCTAGCTTTTCTATTAGGTGTCCCATTCTTTTGCCTAGTATTAGTCAGGCTGATAGCCCATACAGTATATTGTATACAGTCGGTTTCTCCTCTTTAAATACAATACAATATGAACAGTCTCCCAGTTATTTGTAACTTCCCAGTCAGTTTCAAGGCTTATTGAAAATCAGCTTTAATGGTCCAGAGAATTTCTTTCCTGGCTCTTTCAAAACTCTGAGGTACAAGTGACCTGCTGACTTAGAAATGTCAAATGTCAGTAGTTGCAGATTAACACTGTCCAGAGATACATTTGGAACGAAAAACATTAACATCACCATCACTGATATGGCTCATACTTGTTTTCAGCTTGGCCAATTCATTATTTAAAACATATTGGATGCATCTATGTTTTACCAATTTGGATGTTATTGAACACAGGTTTGTGCCCAATAACTTTTTGCAGTAGCTGCTGTTAACTGATCTTCTTCATCCACTCTACTTCAGCATGTATACCTGTTCACCACAGTGGTATTTAAGTTCTAGTTTGTGGTATAAGAGATTTAGGATAACATTTACAAAAAAAAAAACTTGAGAATGTGAGGGATACATTAAAATAAATACAGCACAAACTTCCGCATAGATTAGATGTCCTTTAAATCATGTCAGTTGGTTTAAAACAATGGTGTTCAACCTTTTTGTTCACAGGGCTGGATGGGTAGTGCCCAGTCCCTCTGTAGCCTGGATCTGGTTGGTGAACCCAATCTGGAACCTGTGATTTGCACTGTAGTACCCCATCTAGCCATGTGGAGGGAGGAGGGAATAGCTTGGCACAAATCCAGACCCACTGCGGGGAGGGGGCATGGCCCAGACCCAGCCTCTCTTGGTGGGGGGGGCATGATCCAGCCCCATGGGGGAGAAGGTGTGGCCTGGCCCTGCAGGAGGAAGGGAGTGTGTCCGGCCACAACCTGGCAGGAGAGAGGGATGGGGGCACGGCTGGGTTGGAGCATGACCCAGCCCTGAACCAGCTGTGCAGAAAGAGGGGCGTGGCCCAGCCCCATGGGGAGAAAGAGGCACAGCTCAGCACCAACCTGGTTATGCAGAGGGAAGGAGATATGGCCATGCTGTGGGGAGGGTTGTGACCCAGTTCTGGCCTGCTACTCAGGGCTTGGGATTTTGGCAGCAGGGACAGTGGCTATATTAACTGCCATGATATTAACCACCACTGCTTCCCTGCCACCGAATTTCCTGACCTGTGGGGAGCCCTGCAGATTGGATCCCAAGTTTCTGCAGGCCACATTTGGTCCCTGGGCTGGAGGTTAAGCACCCTCGGTTTAAAACCATGCTAGAACTTATTGGCAATGCTGTAATGTGGCTGGAGACTAAGAAGAAAGTAATTCAGTTTAACTATATGACACACGGTGTAACACTTAGCAATTTAATTACTGTATGATTGTGATTTGGATTTAGAGATTCAGTGAGATTGCGAGGGGAGGAAGAGGCCATCGTGTTTGTATGTATTTGCCTCTTTTGAAATAAGCGGCGTGTATACACATGCACCAGGGTGGAGGGAGGGCGCTTTAATTAAGAGTGGCTCATACCACAGTGTCACGTATTCAGTGTCCTGTGCTTCAAAATGGTGGTAGGGGTACTTTAAATAAAGCTTATCAAAAGAGCTTTAGTTAAAGTGCCCCTGCCACCATTTTGAAATATGGGGATGCTAAACGCATGTGATGTGGAGGCTCCAGCAGACTCGATTTAATAGAGTCTGTTCCATGTGATAATTAGCACACATTGCAGCAGAGTGCTGTCATGTGTATAGGTGTCCAAGGTAGCCAAACTAATAAATGGTGGAAAAAATGCACCAACTTAGGTGCAAAGCAGGACTGTGAGCTTGGCTAAACCTTAAAAAAAAAAAAAAAAAAAAAAAAAAAAAAGTTGAGCAAAATTTGTATATGTGTTTTGTTACCTTGTTATTTTGGACGGAAGTTTTGCCAGCATCATGCTAAAGGAATCTGACAGAACAGCTGTGATGAATACCTTTCTTCAGCCTTGTCTGGTCTTCCAGAGACAGGCATATCCCCATCCTTACTGATCTGGACCATAAGACCTTGAGGTTGGTACTGGAGCTAACCCATTTTGATTATATTCTGTCTATAATATGGCTTTCAAACCAAATATGACAGGTAGTCATGGCAGAAGAAAAATGTCCTACCAGTTGGAGCTGTATCTTTAGAATGCCTGTAGATACAGCTTTGAAAGCTAGTAGGATTAGTCCATTACATTTTTTTAAGGAGATTAATGGGTTCTGCGTGAAGGCAGGGGGGATACTTTTACAATGAAACTTTAATAACTGAAATCATCCCTGAGATATAAGAACAGGATAGTGTTTATTGTTCAAAATTTGGTCCTCCTATGTGCTACTTGGCTGCTGCATTTCAGTGACTGTTGTACATATATAGTTAGTAAGGCATCTTAAAAGTGTAATTAGGAAGGCATTTTGGAATGTGAAATTACTAAGGAGAAAAACTACTTCTTTACTGCACTAGATTTTAGAGTTACTTTCTGTTCATGACTGCAAGCATAGTCTTAAGTATGTACCAAGACGTTAAAAATATATTCTAGTTTCTACCAAAAAATCTTTCCTTTTTTCTTTTTTTAGTGGAAGACCAAATATTCCAAACTCATTCTTAGGACATCTGATACGGTACCTAAAGGACTGCATCAAGTTGTGCAAGATGCTTTTTTGACCTTGCAAAAACATGGTTGTCTCTTTCAAGATCTTATTAGGATCAAAGGAAAAGATTTTCTTACCCCAGTATCTCGTATATTAATTGGAAACCCAGGATGCACTTACAAATACTTGAACACAAGACTATTTACTGTTCCTTGGCCTGTGGAAGGTTCCAAAATAAAATATTGCAATCCTGAAATGTTTGATGCTTGCAAGGCCTTAATGAAACTTAATGACTACCTGCATAATGAAGCGGTCCAGGCTTTAAAAGAGCAAAGTTTGTCTGAAACCAAAGAAACCAAAGATGCTGCTGTTACAAATAAGGAACAGGATTTTTCTACTTGTGTTGAAGGGGAGAGGACCATTTTGGAAGATCAAAGCAGCTCTTATGTACCAAGGGCTGACCGCATAAACCTAAAGAACAAAACGTCTTATAACTTGACTTTATTAAATTATATGGATCCACTACAAATGCTGTACTTAAAACAAGAGCCTTATTTTGGAATGGGGAACATGGCTGTGAGTTGGCACCATGATGAGAATCTGGTTGAAAGGTCAACAGTAGCTGTGTACAGTTACAGCTGTAAAGGTAAGTAGTCAGGTGGTAGGGCATATTTGAGTAGTATTTCAAAGTCCTGAAGCAGTTTTTATGTTTAGGTGCACAAAAATGCCTAGACACCTGCAAACCTATCTACTAATCTAGATTTGTTACTTGTTTCCAAATAGGTTATGGTAATTAACGTTATCTCTTTATTTGTAGACACTACTGTCCCTTGTCCATGAGATAAAACTCTATTTACTGTACCTGGTAATACTGAAGTACTTTAAATGGATTGAAAGGTTGCTAAATTAACTTGTGGATTAAGAGCAAAGAAAACAAAATATGTCACATCTTTATTCCAGGTTCTCATCATTGAATATTTTCAGTCCTGTAAAGTGTTTTATTGTAGTTCACATCATTGTCTTCATTGGAGCACTTTGTCAAATATGGATTTGGTTCTGCTGTATGCTGATTTTACTGTCCTGTCTTTGCAAAGAACATACCGACTTGGCTGTGTGTAGCAGGGGGCCAAGCCTGAAGCCTGCTTTGCTCACTCCTCTGGGTGAGCCCAACCAGAGAACCTGGTCGCTGAGGTTCTGGTACTCGCAGGCAAATGCTAGGCAGGCAGCACTTGAGTTAAAAATCGCACGCTGCGAACTGGTGCAGCTGAGGCTGACTCCCATGAAGCCAAAGGAGTTCTGGGCCTCTTTGAAAAGGAAAGACCAAGATGGGGTGGCCCATTAACCCCTCTGAAAAGGGGAAAGCAAGGGGACTTACCTTGAGTTCCTCATGGAAGCATGGAGAAGCCATTGAGAAGGGAAGAGAAGAGCTCCAGTCGCCAGAAAATGTGGAAGCCAGATCCCGTGACCATCGGTGAACAGGATCACTCTGTCCCGGTAGGGCAAACATCTCCTCAGTTTAGGGAGTGAGAGGAATTCTGGTCTTCTCCCCAGGTGAGCATATGTTGAGCCTGGAGGGAGAATAACAGAAAACGGAGGGGGGTAAATGGTTAAAAGGGTTAATGTCAAGTCTGAATTATGAGACTGATCACTGAAGCCAATTGAAGCTGGATAAGGGGTGAAATTGATTGATCAGAGCATGGAATGCATTATATGTGGCTCTGAAAGTGATTAAGGTTGATTAAGAAATAGGAACTGATTGCTCTGGGCATAGGCTGTACTATAAGAGGCCCTGAAATCCATTGGAGTCCGGGGAATGGGGAATGCTAATAAGAGTGTGGACTGTAATTATGTGAGAAGCTGAAGTTGTTCAAAGGCGGATGGAGAAGAAAGATTGACCAATTAGAGCATGAACCATCTAACCTCTGACTTAGAGTTAAGAGCAGCCTGCTTATGGAGGGAGGTGAAGTAATCTGAGTGAGGCTGCATTAGTTGAGACCCAGTCCCCAGTTGTAGACTGAGGAGGAAGAAATTTGACTGGCAAGGAAGGCCTGTTTAAGTGGATGAGGGCCCAAATTACGCTGGAGAGAGAGACTGGGGCTACACTCTTGTGATAGACTGAGGTTGATAACAGGCCCAGCTGGTGATTAATTTTAGTTAATTGAATATAGGAACTTTTCAATTGGTCTCAAGTTGGGGTCAAATTCTGGTATGGTCTGGGGGACCAGACCCCCAATAAGGAGCAGGCATGAGGAAAACCCTTTTGGAATTGACCTGTAACTCAGAAGAACACTGTTTTGGGAGAGTGACTAACCAGGGTGTAGGGGAGGAGGAGCTCTCGGATACACCCCTCTCACCTGGCCCCAGAAGCCCCAAGAGCCGCTGCTACTACTGATGAGTGCGGGGCTTTTTTTTTTTTTAAGTGCCAAGACACTGAGGCAGGCGGCCCAGCAATTCAGGGGACCCAGGTAGCAGGCAGGAGATGGAGCTGGGGGGGTCACCCCATGGCCTCCTCCCCCCTCCTCCAACTCCCCCCCCACCTACTTGCAGCCATTGAGGTGCCCCAGCCACGCCCTCGCTGAGCGGGTCCCGCCACTTAGATTTCATAGACATTTGGGCTGGAAGGGACCCCAGAGGATCATTGAGTTCAGCCCCCTGTCCCAGGGGCAGCAAGTCAGCAGGGATCATAGGATCTCAGCAAGAAAAGCATCCAAATGTGTCTTGAAGGTGTTCAGAGTGGGTGCTTGAACTGCCTTCGGTGGCAGTCTATTCCAAACCCTGGAGGCTCGGGCAGTGAAGAAGTTCTTTCTTATGTCCAGCCTGAATCAGTCGCAGCAGAGTTTGTGACCATTTGATCTTGTCATCCTTTGGGGCATTCTGGTGAACAGACGTTCGCCCAGATCCTGATGAGCAGCCCTGATAAGCTTATAGGTGGCCACCAGATAACCCCTGAACCTGCACTGTTTCAGGCTGGAGAGTCGCATGGCTCTCAGCCTGTCATCATAAGGTCTGTTTTCCTGACCTCTGGTCATGTGCGTGGCTGTCCTCTGCACCTTCTCCAGTTTCTCCACATCCTTTTTGAATTGTGGAGCCCAAAACTGGATGCAGTACTCCAGCTGCAGCTTCACCAAGGCTGAGTACGATGGGAGAATGATGTCCTGGGATTTGCTTGAGAAGCATCTATGGATGCAAGCCAGTGTTTTGCTCACTTTTCTAGCTGCAGCATCAC